GTGGATGGATGGATGGATGGATGGATGGATGGATGGATGGATGGATGGATGGATGCTTTACTGATTATTGACAAGTACGTTTTGGACAGTTTTTGTGTGCAACAGATTTAAAGTTAGTTAAATAACACCTGGATGTAAACAGCATCAAAGATAAAAACAAATGAATCAGAGACCCCAGTTGAAAGTTAATTCATCTGGGGGGGGGGGGGGGGGGGGCAGCAGTGGCTGAACTAAAAAACAACAAGTCAAGTCATCTTTATTTATAGAGCAGTGGTCCCCAACCTTTATTCCGCCACGGACTGGTTTAATGTCGGGGGGGTTGTTTAGAGTCTGAGGGTCCTACCCCAGAGAATTTTGATTAAAGTAGATGCCATTTCCTGCATTCTGGTGTCTTTCACAAATGTTTATTACAGTAGATTAACATGAAACAACATGTAAACTCATTATTGAAATGACTGCAAAGCGTTCATAATGCAAAACTTGCAGCTCTGCAGGTGAGGGGCGTTCACTTCAGGACAAATTGATTTAACTGATTTGTCAGTTCCTTGATTGTCAGTTATAAACGTCAACATTAAAAGAAACAAACATTTGAAATATATCAGTCTGTGTGTAACGAATGAATATACAAGTTTCACTCTTTGAATGGAATTACTGAAATAAATCAACTTTTTCACAACATTCTAATTTTATGACCAGCACCTGTATTTCAAATTGACTTTTAATCACTTTATGTGTGATTTATAAGTGTATTAATCATTTCTCATTTAATTAGTAGATCCCACACTGGGGTCAGCTGAGCCTCGTCATCCTCCTCCCTGCTCCGCAGTGATTCACGCATCAGTTTGTACACAAAAGCGCAGGAACTTATTCATAGTGCAAAACTTTAATTATATTTAATCTGATGCATGCTCAATAATCCAGGTAGAAAAATCCAAAAAAGTTCAATCTGGTCCTCTGGACATTCAAAGAAACAAAAAACAAAACAAAGCAAAAAAAATGTAGAAACGTTTCGTCTCTCATCCGAGACTGAGGAAGTCTTCCGGATGAGAGACGAAATGTTTCTACATTTTTTTGCCTAGATGTCTAGAGGACCAGATTGAACTTTTTTTTGGATTTAATTATATTTGTGGGGTTTTTTTTGTTTTTGTATTTTTTTATCAAATTGCCCATGACTTTGAACTTTTAGGGTTGGAGATTTTTTTTAAGAGCAGAAGCAGAAATGAGAAGGACCAGCTCTGATGTGAATTCAATTCAAAAAAGTTCAAGACAAAACCAGCTCTGATGTGATATTAGGAAACTTTTAAAATTATAGTTTTATTTAGTTAATATGCTGGTGAAGATTCTCAGTCATCCAGGACATGATGAATTCAAAAAGCGTTCAATACAAAAACAACTGGACTTTATTTGTAACAGAAGACGTTTCGAAATTAATTACGTTTCAAATAAAGTCCAGTTGTTTTTGTATTGAACGCTTTTTGTATTTAGTTAATAGTTTTACAGTCACTCTTTGTCAGGCGGGTTGAAAAATATGCAGTGTAATCCTTCAAATGCGCAGACATGTCCGCGCGCCTCCTCCTGTCCTGTCTACTCCTGTCCACGCAGGTAAAGTACTCCACAATGTAGAACCAATCTGCGCATGCGTCTAGCAGAATCTGGAATTTACCACCTGTGTATGTTGGCCTGCGTCACAAGTGAGTGAAACGGATGTGGTGGAGATAATCCGGTGATTTTTCAAAATAAAAGTGTTTTTTTGTTTGGTTTTTTTTCCTGTGGGCCCGGTACCGCCCGGTACTGGTCCGCGGCCCAGTGGTTGGGAACCACTGTTATAGAGCACATTTAAAGCAGAAACTGTTATCAAAATGCTTAACAATAACATCAATGGGAGTAAATTTAATGAAAAAAATAAATATCACACACTAATGATAATACTGAAGAATTACTAAAAAGCATTTAAAACTTAGGAACACAGAACAAAAAACACTAAATCAATTCGCACTTTGTGAAATGCCTGCGAGAAGTGATGTGCTTTTAGAGATTTGAAGTGAGGAAGGGAGGTGGCCAGCCTAATGTTGGGGGGCAGGTTATTCCAGAGTTTGGGGCCCATGACTGAAAATGTCCGATCCTCTGAGCTTCAGTCTTGTTTTTGGAACAGCCAAAAGCAGCTGATCGGATGATGTCAGGGCCCGAGAGGGAACGTTTGGTTCCAGTAGCTCGGAGAGGGGTACGAGGCCATTTAGGCACTTCAAGGTCAACAGAAGAATTTTAAAGACTATTCTAGTACGAACAGGGAGCCAGTGAAGGGAGGACAGAACTGGTGTGATGTTCAGACTAGGAATGCGCAATATAAACTGTACACGGTAGAAACTATAGACATTTAGCCTATGATCTGTATTCTACTGGCTATCTGCAGTAATGCTGTGTCTGATGTAAAATCAGAGTTGTGATATAGAATCGTTACTTTTTTTAGTTGAAAACTGTGCGTCAGTGGTGTTAAAGTCCTTTATAGCCGGCTTGCCGTACTCGTATTCGGACGCATGTGCAAAACGCTGTGTTGTGTCGAAAGGTTGTTTTTTTTTTTGTCTAAAGTTCATTGGTCAGCTTTATGGAGTGCATTTAAGCTAAAAAAAAATAAAATAAATAAAAAGGGAGGAGGGTTAAACCTGCTCTCTGATTTGTGAAAAGAACGCTGTGTTGTGTGATTTTACTGTGAGACCCTCTGGTCAAAGTCACAGAGGAAACTGGTCGCCATTTTGTGTCAGCTCTCCTTAAAGCGGAAGGAGACGCCCACTAGAGGGTTGGAGGGTGAAGTGTTTTCAGTGTAAAACGCTGCTCTGTTGCAGGTCATTTCTTAAGTATACTGGAAACTGTTAAGAGTTAACAACATATTATTTAGTTTAAAACATATGGCTAAAACTACGTTTGATATCTTTTGCATTTTGCACTACAAGAAAGAAGCCTAATACTTGATTTTAACAACTCTCTGGATCTAGTAGTGGAATTTTCTTAGTTGAGATTATTTTTTGGTATAGCAGTTTTCAAAATAAATTATGGCAAAAGGACACCTATGCTTTTTAAAAATTCCTATTACAAGTTTTATACCAAAAACATATTGTGATATATACCATTGCCACCCATTGCAATACATATGGTAAGATGAATTTTATGTCATATCACACATCCCTAGTTCAGACATATGAGTTCCGGTTAAAAGCCGAACAGCAAAACAACAACAACAACAACAACAAACATTTAGAACAGCTGGACAGGTTAAAGGTTAGTTATTCAACCAACTACTCAGGGGGTCACAGTTATTGAAAGTCAAGAGCTCAGGGGCCGGACATTCAGCAGTCACGATTTAAAATCTAGATTAATTTAAAAATGAATGGGTGAGTCGAAATGAGCACAGTGGACTTTGTTTGCCCCCCGGGCCACCAGTTGAATAGCCCTGCTCTAGAACACGATGACTGAAATTAAAAAACATCCACAGGGTTGCACATTTCTCCTCTTTACTCACGAGCTCCAAACAGTGGCTGCATCTGGAGGCCTCGTCACGCGAGCTGCCGGCCGGTGCCCTACATCAGCAGCTGGACCACCTCCGCGTGCCCCTCCCTCTCTGCCAGGTGTAGCGGCAGGTTCCCTTTGAAGTCCTCCAGATGCGCGTCAGCCCCGTGAGCTAGCAGCGTGCGCACAGTTTCCGCGAAGCCCTCGCGCGCGGCGTCGTGCATCACGGTGAGTTTGGAGGTCTGGTCGCGCACGTTGGGGTCCGCGCCCGCCGCGAGGAGCGTCTCCACGAGTGGGGTGTTGCCCAGCATGGCCACCTGGAAACAGACACGAATAAACGAGAGCACAGGGAGAGGAGGGAACAGGCCTGACGGGAACCGAGGCCTCCTGACGGGAACAACGAGCACAAAGCGTCCACGCATTTCGATTTGTACACGGACAGAATAAAGGTTGAGAGAAAAACACAAATAAAACGCGTTAAGACTAAACAAAAACTTCGGCCTTTATGTCCTGACATGACTCCGAGGCCTACAGATGTGCAGAAAAATAACCATCTTCATAATCCTTCCATCCAGATGTTTACATGTTGTTCAGTTTCACTCACTTTAAACAGCTGTTTTTGGCGCTGATAACAATCAGCTGTAGTTTCCCCCTCCCTTAAAATAAATAATTGCAGTTTTGTCACGTTTTGGTCTCAGTTTGACTCTAAAAAGTCAACTCCAAAGTCATTGTCTCCAGAAGAACGTGGACATGACTGTGCTGGGACTACACGCACCTCTCTGGGCGCGGCTCCTCCTATGACCTCCACAACCCGAGTCTTAATAAACATGCAATTAAGGATTTATTAAAATTAGTTAAATAAGGAAAGTTGAAGTTTTTCCCAAACAAATCACATGTTTGGACGTGCAGCCTTCTTATTTTATAAAACAGCCTCATTCTACTGTTGTTGTTGTTTTTTTTTCTTCTTCTCGTTTCCCCTATATTTAAAAAAACCTTACAAATTAAAAACAACAAAAAAAAGTTGGCTTTTATAAACTCCATATTTTGTTTAATTGAAATTCAAGACACATTTATATTTTGTTCTATACATTTTTTTTTAAAAATCAGCTGAACATCTTTATGATGTGCTCTAAAACTTTATCTCTAACTTGTGAAACAGATTAAATTTGATGACAAACGCAAATAATAAAACAATCACTTAAATTTGTGACTTTTATATAAAAATCTAATCAAAGCTGCCTTTTTCCCCCCCCACACGGTATGTTATTTAATTTAGCTTGATGATCATATGCCAAAAATACAATATTGATTATTAAAAATTAATTTACAAAACTTGTTTAGATGGTCAGGTAAACTGAGCATAAAAGATTTCAAAGATAAAATCTTGAGGCAGCACATGGCAAAAAGTAGGAAGTGACTTGTTCCTGACAAAAGTCAGAAAACCTTTTTTTTGAAACGTGGCAAAGTTGACAACTATTTTCACTATAATTCAAATCTAAAAAGTTGAATGCAGAGTCTACCGACCTGTAAAGGAGTTTTGTTGAATTGATTCCGTCCGTTGATGTCAACTCCAGCCTGCAGTAAAAGCAAAACCATCTCTAGGTTACCCCGAGCTGAAGCGCTGCACAGTAAATCTATGTGTGACGCCATTCGTTGTCAAATAAAATACAAGCACAGATCATCCAAGATGATCAAAAGCATTGAAGGAGAAGTGTTAGATCAGACAAACTCCTCCTTCCCTCCTGCCTCAGCAGGGCCTGCTGCAGATGACAGGACTGGAAATAATAAGCAAAAATAAGCAAAGTTTGTGTAGAAAATTGTGCCAATGTGCATTTTTATGAAGAACAAATACATTTCTTTCTTTGATTCTGTCTTTCTTTCTTTCTAATAGTTCAAATAATTCAGTATGCAATGATTTATGGTTGTTATAGATCATTTTTCCACTCTTATCCAATAATGTATACCTTTTCCCAAAATAAACTAAACAAGTTTCTTAAAATTTCAAGCTAAAACATGAAATTTAAACTCTATAACCAATAGGTCCAAATTAATTCCAGGAATGAGAAGCTCCTGGTGTATTTTCAGGCCACTTCTAGTCAATTTAAGATCAAACTGGAGGGAAATAGAGAAAATTTGACTATTTATTTGCGGCTCAAATATCACACATCATTCAAATATATCCTGCCAACAGTGTGATGCCTTGAGAAATGTAAGTTTCATGTGACACATTCAAATTAAAAGCACATCACAAGCAAAACGAAACAAAACTTACTCAGAATGAACCACAACACGCGTCTTCCTTTTTCCTGGTCAATATGTTCCGTGCTGCAAATGCAGTAACGAAATAAATAATAATAATAAAAAAAGAGACAAAGAAAGAAGAAAGAAACAAACAAAAAAAATGAAAACAAAAATACGACAAAAACCGAACTTGGGCCGACCGTAAGAAAATGCCATGTCAAAGGATGTGAGGTAACAAGAAGCACTTCCCGCTCATTTTCAAAAGCTTAAAAACAGAAACACAAACAGCATCTGTTCCTGAACGCACCACAGATCTCTCATAAGTCCTTTAATGTTTGAACTCACTCCTCTAGAATTACAATAATTCACCTGTCACAGCATCCACATCTGCCTGAAGAAATGTTAAAGCTCCTTAAAACAAACAAACAAACAAACAAACAAACAAACAAACAAACAAACAAACCGACAGCTGAAAGGAGGCATCTTTCGGTTTTCTTTTTTTCTTTTTTTTTTTTGCACTACAGTGCATCGACCCCTGGTGGTGACAGTAACGTGATGATGCAGGGAGATGTGATAAAAACTTAACTTCAGTCAAATTCAGCTTTTCACAAATTATCTTCTGCACACTGGATTATCATCTGTATGATGTCACAGCATCACTTGGACTTACAGGGGTCAGATTTGGTTTTATAATTCCTGCATCACAATGCAGCACAGTCATGTCATGAGGGGTGCTTTTTTTGAATGAAGCTTTTAAGAAAATAGAATAGAAGCAGCCTTTATTTATTTATTAATCTTTATTAAACCAGGCAAATCCCACTGAGATCACAGGTCTCTTTTGCAAGGGAGGCCTGGGTCTGAAGGCAGCCTAACATGGATGTTTTCAGTGTGTGGGAGGAACACCCACGTGCAACAGAGCAAAAGGCCCAGATTGCTACTCGGAGGGCGTGACCCTAAAGCCAGCTGGTAGATTTCAAATAATGCTAGATAGTCTGGTCAGGTACGCCTGGCTTCAAATGACAAAAACAGAAGTAGGGTACGAGTAGGGTATTTTATTTATTCCTTTCAACAGCATTAAAAACAGCTCTTTATTATATACATTTAATATTTTATTTATTCCTTTCAACAGCATTAAAAACAGCTCTTTATTATATACATTTAATATTTTATTTATTCCTTTCAACAGCATTAAAAACAGCTCTTCATTATATACATTTAATATTTTATTTATTCCTTCCAACAGCATTAAAAACAGCTCTTTATTATATACATTTAAAACCTAATAATCACAACCAAAGACAAAATTGAGCAAAATAAAAACTACTAAAAAAGAGAGTAGTTATGTTTAGGTGGCGATACAGAGTGTTAGTTTTAAAGTGCTAGAACAAACCTAGCACCAGGTGAACACAATGCCAGCATGAGTTCAAGTATGTTTATTATCCCCGGGGCAATTAGTTTCACAGTCAGTAGATGTGTACAGAGAGCATATGTAGCAGCATAAATGGTGTGCTGCCACTTTAACACGGTCAATTGCGGCTTCTGTATAAAAGCGCGTCACTCCTGTCTGGGTACACGGCGTTTGTCACGACGTCTGCTTGCGTCTGCTGCAGAGAACATTCTCCAACTAGCCTCTTCTCTGCCTCCTGGATATAAGACTGGTCTGTCTGTTGTGTGCCCAATTAATGGCTTGAAGGTAAGGGTTAGCCTAGCCTGCTACCGCTTACCTGTTACTGTAAACAAATGCTTATTAGACTGTTCTGTTACAGCTGCTTGATCCAATTTATACAGCAACTCTATTATAAGATTGTGCTGTAACATACAAATTTGCAGGTAGGCAATATGAGATTCTGTAAATTCTGCTGTCAATGGTTGAGTTTAATAGTGACGATCTGCTCCCTTTTTTTTTTTTTTTTTTTTTTTAGTTTTCAGATGAGCCTTCTCCTGCTGTTCAGCTGGATTCTGCTCGCTACTGTCTTGCCTAGAGGAAAAACTATAAAACTAACTCGGGCCCTTGCCCTACTGGCTGAGACTTTGATTTTAATGAACTGAGTGCACCACTTAATCTGTTAATAAATGTTGCGACGTGGCTGTTTCATTAAGGCTGTTTGTTCATTTTTTTTATTTTATTTTTATTTTTCAGGGACTGAGACTTCGTGTGGTGGCGGTGGTGACCCCTGGTGGCGGTGTCTCGCTTTGTGTGTGGAACACTCCTTTTCCCTTTTGTAGTTTAGGTGATCCCTCTTCCTTCACTGGATGTGGTCTCCTTGTCTTTACAGCCCCCCCTCCCCACTAGTAAGCCTCAGTCTCACCTGATATATTAGTGGTTTTTTTTAACTCCAGCACAGCTGTGTTAAACAATTAAATGCAGTCAACAATTTTCTGGTATTGCATATTTTAAAATACTTTTTGAATACTTTTCACTTGTGCAAATTACACCCCCAATAAATTTGGTAAAAGTTCATTTGAATCTTGTCTCCTTCCTCCAGTAGAACAAACTTGTGTGTCCTTTTTATTTACTGGAGTATAATCCCAGGTGGCGTTGTTGGTTTTCACTCATTGCAAATTGACTAAAGAATTAACATTTTCCATTATAATGTTCATATTTTTAAAAGATAACCACTCCCTAAGTGCTACACATATAAAGTAAAAAAAAAAAAAAAAAAAATGCGCACAAAGTTGGGAGCATAAGATCTAAACAGCAGCAATCTACTGTACACAGAATGACAATTAGTAAAGTGCCTGCGCATAATAAACATCAATATAAATATATATAATACAAGCATGTACCTTAAGTCACAACCCCACTAAAGGTTAAATTCAAACAGTTGCAGTGGCAATCTGCTACTCACTGGCACACATCCTAAAAAAACAAATACAAGTTACTTTAACCAGAACGCCACAGCAGCAACAATATGCAGAGCAGCAATGACAGCACCCAACCACCCATAGGTGGCTAGTCAAACTTTTACCTTAACAGCAGTGGAAATGTCCCACTTGCGATTCAGGGCTTGTTACAATGCGTGATGAGCACTGCACCAGCGCTCACACCTCATGCAGTGACACACCAAACAGCCAACGCCCTGGAGAATCAAATGTTTGGCGTGCACGTCCAGAAGTGGAGGATCCACTGACAGGAGCGTGAGGCAGACCCCTCCCCTCCCACCCTGTGCAACATACTCAAATCACCCGGTTACACACGGATAGGAAATTTGGTTTTAACAGCAGTAACAGATAAAAAGATTAACACAAAAAGCTCCTAAAATGTAAAAAAAACAAAACTATATTTAAATAAACAATGTTCAATATGTATTGAACATTGAGAATGACAGACTATTTACAGTACATACAGGCAGAGTGTGTGTTTTAGCAGAGGTCAGTTTGTATTTTATACTTGAGATTGTTGGGAGCAGTGATGGTTGTAGAGTCTAACAGCTGCTGAGAGCAAGTAACGCCCCTTTGTTCATTTAAGATGCAGTAATCTGGACGAGCTGTCCAAATCAGTAACAGCTTCATGCATGGGGTGGGAGACGTTGTCCAACGTGATGTTATTTTAGCTAGAGTCCTTCTGTCTCCCACCAACTGCACTGGGTCGAGGGGGCGTCCAAGCACAGAGCTGAAAAACAACATATAGCAGTAAAGAGTTTTGTAAGTGCAATAAAAAACAAACTATATTTCTTCACTTAAAGAAACAGGTCCAGATGACATGATTTAACCATTGTTGTTAACATAAATCAGTGTTTTTGTAAGCACAAAAACAGACCAAAACCAAACCCAGATTTGTTCGATCTACTGCAAACAAGTATAACAAAATCTGTTCAGCTGAGGATTACTTTCAACCTCCTCTTCGCATTTTTGGTGACAATGTACAGTATTTAAGTTTGGGGTTTATTCAAGTTATTTGTCATGAATTGTTCAGGTGACTTTGTATGAAGCTCATCCTCTCACCACCTGCTGAATCGTTCACCTGTTTACACTCACCAGTCCCCGCATTGTGTGAATGTTCATGAAGCATTCACACTATTGTGATCCATTTTTCCTCCGCATGTTTATCACCATCTTTCTCGTTCCACAATTTTTGTGCAGTTGCTACAAATCATATATCTAAACATTCAGCTCTTTCAGGACAATCCTGCTATGACTTTTGGTATGGATGCAACTTCAGCTTTTTGAAATATTTAGCCTTTTCTGCCTTTTTTTTCCTCATAGAAAATGAATTGAGCTCATTTTACCTCCTTCAAATCTTTAGATCTGTTTACAATCTTTTACAACTCCTTTCACATTTTGTTCTGGTTCAGCTGCTTTCAGCTTCCTTGTGTAAATTTAAACTTTTTCCAGCTTTCAGCTGTTCTGTGCTCCTTTCAGATCATTCCACTAACTAAAACATTTTGTGCTTCTTCTAACTTCTTTCT